GAATGATATATTTGAGAAGGTCAGAGAGGTAAAGAGAAATTTTAACATTTATTTAGGACTTTCTTCCCCTTTAAACAGTAAACCTGTTTTAATACCACTCTTTTTCTCTTTTCCCATGCCTTTATTATCTTGCCATGCTTTCTCTTTGTATGCTCCCTTTCTCCTCCTGCATTTTGCTCTACCGTAGCAGCAATTATTATCTCAAGCAATAACCCACCCCATGCTGCAGTGGTGGGGGGAGATGTTTCTCTTCCCTTTACACTTAAAAAAAGGGATTAAGAGAAGTGTAAAGACAGACTACACAACAAAAATCAAAAGCCAAAACCCAATGGAAATAATTAATTTTCCTAATTTTCCCTCTCCTGTGCAAAAGGAAACAGCATGGTCTGCAGAGTGAATGGGAAGCCCAGGAATATCAAATCTATTGCTTCAAGAAACAGGGCAACTCCTCCACTGCATGGAAAACACTGAGCCAAAATATGAAAAGCCAGTGTTAGTAGATTTTTTCACCATTTTTTTATTATTCATTTTGGACATCTTGTAATTTTTTAATTTGGTTTTGACAAATGACTGAAGACTGAACAGTTATTTAGAGTTCTCTGTGGGGGAGTCAAAGTCGTATTTGCAGTTAGAAGCTGGAACAATTTGCAGAGGAAAAGTTACACTTATGTTAATGATGCATTTTAGAAATGCACTATAAAAAGACATGGACTATGACAAATTTTTTTTTTTTTTTTTTTTTTTTTTTTTTTTTTTTGGTACAAAGCTTTAAAACTTAATCCAGAGACATAGAGTTTGTCATTATTTCCTATTGACTTTACTGGGGTTTGAATCTACCCTACTGTACTGCTGTACTGGCCCATTTTCACCTCTTTCTGCCATAAACAGAGATACATATTCAAATTGAGAGTTCATTGTCACCTTCTCTCTGAGAAGCACAAAATTTATACTAAGGTTACTGCTTTTCTCCTTCCTGATGCTGGTTTTTAAAAGAGCAAAGAAAATAAAGGACAAAGAAAATTTCAAGGATATAAAGATACAAAAATGATTCACAGGCCTGTTGGAGTGAGATCCAAAGCAGGGCCACAAAAATTATTATAGGGATGGAACATCTCCTCTATGAGGAAAGGCTGAAAGAATTGGGGTTGTACAGCCTGGAGAAGAGAAGGCTCCAGGGAGACTTTAGAGCAGTACCTAAAGGTGGCCTACAAGAAAACTGGAGGTAGACCTTTACAAGGGCATGTAGTGCCAGCACAAAGGTTACTGGCTTTAAATTTAATGAGGTTAGGTTTAGCTTGGTGAGGCACTGGCAGATTTCTCAGAGAAGTTGTGGATGTCCCTGGAAATGTTCAAGGTCAGGTTGGATATGGGGCTTTGAGAAAGCTGGTTCAGTGGAGGGTGGCCCTGTCCAGGGCAGGGGAGTTGAATCTAGATGCTCTTTAAAGTTCCTTTCAACCCAAACAATTCTAGGAATCTATGATACATCTTCATCTGTATTTTTCTTTCCATTTCTCTGAGGCTTAGGGAGAAGTCTCCTGACTGTTTTTACTGCTGTGACATGACATAGATTTACTGCCTGTGCATCCTACACATCCCTGTGCAGATCAAGCAAAGCACTTCCTTTCTGTCTGTCAAAGGCTATTGCAACACTGTGTCTCAGTTATCCTGGGGAGCACGGAGCTGGAAAGCATCCTGATTATTTTCTTCACAATATTTAAATACTTTAGATGACCCTCTCCCCCAACACAAGTAAATGCCCCCATATCTTGTTGGGTTCCATGGTAACATGGGGAATATTATCGCAGCTGTTTCTTTTAATACTGTGTAGTCATTCTATTTTCGTTTTCATCAAGGGTCTCCCACCTTCCAGAGATCACACAAAACAACAAAAAGTCTTGCCACTATATAAGAAATCAGAGCATTAATTTACCAAGCATGAATGAAAATGTCAGTCATGAACTAAAAGGAACAATATTCTGTTATTAATAGGGGTTTAAAATTGTTATCTTTATACTATTTAACATTCTAGCTCTGTTTTTTCTTCAGATTTGTAAAAGAAAATAGTCTCATTGGTAGAGAGAGACAAATAATGAGTGCAGTGATTCCTTTCCTATTTAAAAAATAATGTAACAGGATTGGATAATTCGCATTTTAATTTTATATTTTAAATACATTAATTGAATGACAAAACATCTGAGAAATCAAAAGCTGTTAAGGAGCCTATCATCTAAAGTCTTTCACACACAAGTGTGTAAGACAGACTAAAAATTGTATTTACCTATGTGTGTTTTCCTTCTTATATAATTTCTGCTGTCACAAAGCAAATAACCTTCCCCTTGACACAGTTTAAGTAAGTCACACAGGAAGAATCCTGATAAACGACAGCAAAATTTTTTATGTTGCCTATATTTTTGTTATTTGTGAAGAAAGGAGGATGCTTAAGGGGACAACTCAAGGGGAAGCTCAGATGAAGATCTAAGAGTGGGTGGGAGTTAAGAAGGAGGATTTGACTTAGTAACTGTTGCAGTGTTTGGGACAAGAAAACTAAGTAAACATCCCCTGGAAAGAAAACAATTTATGTTCTGAAATATATACTTAGAAATAAGTTGTTGTGCTAGAATTCAGATCTCTCAGTGCTAAAGAACGACTGCATGCAAGCTCTCAAAATATCATTAAGCACAGAAAACAATACATCTTGCCTTCAGTAATGCATCTCTTATGCTTAAGTCCTGCTTTGCATTATGCTATAGGTGATGCTGAAAGCTGAACATCTCCCTTGTGGGTCTCTCACAACGAGGCATACATGTGACTAAAAGAAACTTTTACTCCTCAGATCAAGTCCTGCATTAAATGAAGCTGGCTAGCCCCAAGGCCAATTTTTTTCATATAAATTGCTGTCACTGCTTAAACATGTCAGAATTGAAGACACTTCTAGAGCTGGACACCCCTAAAAAAAGCTAAATCCACTTAAAGTTTTCCGAAAATTCAGCAAAACCTTCACATTTCAATTTTTAAATTTTTTTTCTTAGTTAAGTAGGCTAGATTTTATTGTGGTTAATGGACTCTGATCAGACTGGATATACATAAGCATAAGATTTTACCTCAGCTCTTCTGAAACTATTCCTGTCCTGGCCTGTATAAGAAATATATTGCTGAAAGATCAAATAATACTTTCAAAATCAAACACCATAATCTGAAGCTCAGTTAAAAGTTTCACAGGAGACATAATTATATTTTACATAGAGAGCTTGTATTAAATTCTAGGTTCAGTGTGGGCTGTGTTGAATCGGCACACTGCATATGGCGGATTTTTTTTCACTTATTTTCTATTTCTCTTTTACTGGCAGTAGTTTCCCCAGATTGGACTAGTCCAACCCTGAGTAAAATGGCTAAGAATATTTTTTCTTGCTGTATCAGCTGCCATGTTTTAGCTACTTGAGACTTATCAGTCTATATTACTGTTATATTATCCTATATTACTGATAGTTTTATACAACTGTTGCTCTTGTACAAAAATTGTTGATTTTTTTAGGCATTGTGAAGCGAGTTGCTGTCTGGATATTGATGAAATCAGAGTAGGGCAGCAGGCAGTTTAGTGTACACAGACCCACTAAATGCTCACTTGCTTTTTGTCAGAGCCCTTGCAAGGCTGTGCTGTTACCAGCACTGACACTGCCCAGGGTAAGCACAGAGAGAATTCATCTGCATTGATGACACCACCACAAAACCTTTTACATTACTCTGTAATTCTCAAGTGGCTTGTAAACAAGTGCAGTTTAAACATGAATATGCAGTTTAAGCTTATTCTGACAAGATACAAAGGAACTTGAGAAGTGTAATATGCTTTTATGGTAGATGATATAACAGCACTGTAATTTAAACTTTACTAATGCTGCTGTAGAAATAAAGCCTACACTTCTTTAAAATTGGGTTTTCTTAACATAAGTACTGCATTTAAATGCAGTGTCTGTTGTTTTCAAAAAATGTTTGAAATAAAACTGTACTATAGTCTGTGTATGAGGACAAAACAATTGAAAAACAAATTAAAGTTATTACCCATGCTGCTACTGTAGACGGAGGAAAGGAAACGCACACACACAAAAAAAATCCATCAAAAAACCCCAGAAAATCTAAGTTTCTCATCAGCCATTCTATATGTTCTCCCCATCCTTAGCAGGATTCCTGTTTGATTATTCTTGAAATTAGTTCTGATATGTTTCCTATTTAATGTATCACATTTATTTAAAGTTGTATGGTAGCACCAGATGGAAATGCTAGGACCAAAGGAAAAAAGTACAGGAGACAGTGTTAATTACATGCTGAAAACGTTCTAGCTTTCCAAGAAAAATTAATTTCCAACTTCCAAAACCTTGCTATTATTTTCATTAAAAACAAAAACAAAAACAACAAAGATAAATAAAATAAAAATCTTAAAATTTTCAGAGTACTGCTTTTGAATAATGTTATCCACAATTTTAAGACAGACAGACCATTAAATAGAAAAAAGATTTGTTTTACATAAAACAAGAGAGTACAAAAGCACAGCTTTTGTAATTTTGGTAATATTGCAGTTCTACAAACATATTGCATAGTATGTGTAAGAAAATAGTTCCCATCTTTTTATATATACTTCTGTACACAAGAAAACCATTAACATGAAGGTTACAAACCAAAAATGGTTAGCAGACCTTTACTGAGTAGTGTTTGGAACAATACAGCACTCAGATTTTGATCCAACTTTCATGTGCATTACAGTGAATCAGCTGATAACAATTCCGTAGTCCAAAGTTTGTGGGTTTTTAATTTGTTTTTTATTTAGCAATTATTTGGAATCTAAAAACAAAGCAAAACAAACAAATAAAACCAAAACCCCCTAAACAATACATTATGTTAGCAACCAAATATTTCAAACATCTTTCATTAAATCCTTCTAGACATTTATGGCTCTATCTTCCAGACTTAATAACTCTGAATCTAAAATGCTTGAAAGCGAATTCTAGACATTTATGGCTCTATCTTCCAGACTTAATAACTCTCTGAATCTAAAATGCTTGAAAGTGAATCCTTTTATCCAATCAAGCCAATTTCTCAAGCAAACCAATATAACTTCATTTCAGAGAAGAAATGTCTTGGCATGTTTTCTTAGGAACACCAAAAGACCCCCATATGCATGAACAGTAATGTAAATGCAAGACACTGAGAAAAAATTTAAACCCTGGAAAAAAGTAAAAATCTACAGCTCAAAATGCTGCACAAATCTAAACTATGTTACATTTCATGTTGTAATTACAACTTTTCATCTCTTCATTCCAACAGAATTAGTAGAAACAGCAGTGTCATAGTGTTGGATATAATAGAAGTGTCTGTCTTTGGTCTTAACACTTAACCAATGAATGAACTGCAATACAAACCATACAGCTGACAGTGCTCAGAGAGGCTGGCTGATGCTTTTACTTTTCTCCTTTTTTTTTTCCTTCTTTTTTCTTTTGTTTTTTTTTAACAAGAAAGAGACAGCATCCTATAATACGACACAAATGGTTTTTTACAGGAGATAAATCTATTGTATATATTAAACACATGTAGCCAATAAGGTATTTGCAGATATTTCATTGCTTTCATAAGGATAGCATCTTAATTTTTAGTATGGTTAATGCATTGAAATCACTTTTTGAATACTCCTTGAAATCATGTGGGCTAGAAATACTTTTTAAAATACTAAATTTTTCTTCCCTTCTTACAGTTTTCAATAGATTTAAAGAAAGACATCTATATTATGAAATTTACCAGAATATAAAGACTTCATGAAAACTTGTTAGTCTATCTCATAGGTTGTTTAAGCTCTTAAATATGCTCTACTTCATATTGGCAGGACTCTAATAAAGAACATCCTGACAGTGCAGACATACTTGAAATTACTGGGCTGGTTTTTTTGGAGTCCAATGTACTACCCACATATCTCTTCTGAGTTCTCTTCATACAAAGTGGCAAATTATTCAGTCTTGCTGTTAAAATTAATCTAGTAACAAAAGGGTTTTCCTCCTACCTGCCTATTCCCAACCAAGTTGGTGTAAATTTTATTAAGGTTGGGTCCTTCCATCCTGTGAACAGAGACGTTTTTTAAACAAGTAACAGGTAAATAATCTCAGAAGGTGAATAACAAACAAATAGGAATTTTTCAGTGGAAAATTCATGACACAGTATCTGCAAGTCATCCTGAAGGTTTATTTGGAGAGAAAAAAAACTCCTTAGCTTACCTGTACAATCTGTAGGAAGCCCCATTTTAATTCACCAAATAGATTAGTCACTATATTTGTTCATCTTTTAAGCAACAGGTGTATGTAGGTGTGCACAGATAATGAATACACACAGATGTGTCCTCATACGCATCTTTATACATTTCCTCCTGAAATTCATTACTGTCTCTCCACCATTCTATTACTTGTGTGCATAAGAAAAAGGCATCTATATCCCTACAGTTATAAGAGTGTATTGTATGGCTACACTTTTCCATGTTTTATTGTCACCTTCTTTGTCATCTGTAACTCTTTTTGGCCCTCTTTCTATCTGAAAAATCCTCTTGCTCTAATATATTTTCTTGCAATATTTTCTAGTATAATTTCCTTCAAAGAAGAAAAATCTCAAATAGACAAGTCAGCTGTTAACACCCTTCTTTTGAAGACATCAAATAATCAATTCAAAATCTTCCTTTAACTGTTAAACCCAGCAAATATAGAATTCTTGCTATGGGGTAAAATTCACACCTCTGAAGAGGGCCTACGGTAAGGGAAGCACCAGTCAAGCCATTGACACGTCTTGTGCTGGTCTTCTACATAGGAGTGAATTTCACCTGAAGTGAAAACAAAGTCAATCTTATTAGGTGGTAATAAGATGCCAAGGCAATCACCATACTAGTTAGCTCATTTTCATTTCTTTTTCTCTAAAAATATATATTTTTTTAAAAGTGTGTAGAAGTACCCACCTTGCACCATCTCCCCCGGCTTTAGAATTACTTTGCAAAAGCTTTAATTTCATTTGTGACCTTAGATTCAGAAGCCTCTAAAAATACAAACTAGATGATGTAATTTAAAGAATAGAACTTAAAAGCACACTTACCTCACACAATCAAGCCATCTTCCACAATAGGAAGCATTTTTATATTGTTTTACTTTCCTGGGTTCTGAAAGTTTCAAGATACTCTTGTTAATCAATGCTGTGACAAATTTACCAGCAGCATACCAAGCATTTTTTATAAGATTTCAATTAACAATGGTGCCAAATAGGTGTGAACATTGATACAAGAAAGAAATCCCACATGAAATTTGTCAAAAAAGAGTCAGTAATGAGATCTGAGTGCAAATGTGGCTACATAATTTAAACAGAGACCTGGTAAAGGTAATGTAATATCGACCTATTTTTTAATACCAAATGTCGTTCAATATGTGGTTTTATATATGCTACTATTACTTTGAAACCTCAGCAACAGATGGTAAAAAAAAGAGAATAATAAATGTGAATGTCATACAAGTTGTTAGTGCACTGCTTCTCAGCACCACACATTACACTATTACCAATGTTTGTACTGTGTTCAAGTGGCAGCAGAAATAGACATTAGACTATAGACATAGTCAGAAGATGGGCAAGAAGTACCTTTGAAGATTTCTCTCTTGGTTTTGTATTTGCCAATTATAAGACCCTTGTGAAGAGCAATACACTGATCAACAAACATATCATCAGAATTTCTTTCTTTGCCCTCTTCTTATTTTCCAGAAACTGTATGTTCTACTCAAAGCAATCACTTCACATGCAGTGGCCATGAAAATATTATATAAGGTCATTCAGATCTGACAAAGAGCATTTCTTTTTAACTTTTAAAGGAATATTGCTGAGCATTTCCAAAATTTACGTAGTGTACAAAACCCTAGACTTAGTAGACAAATAGTAACAACACATATTTAAAGAAACCAAACTCAGGGAGGAATTCTGTCTCTTTTTGTATTAAAAACCATTTACTGAATTTGTTTAGTAAAGCAAGCATCACACAATGCTTTAAAATTTTAAAATTCAGGGATAAAAGTTTACTTCCAAAAAGATGAATGGAAAATTGTGCTTTCAGACAGTAAAGTTACTTATCATACAGGGGGAATCAACTCATCTCACCATCAGATTCTGGATAAATTAATGTACTCTCTCTCTGTCTCTCTAGATATATATTTATGTGCAGTTCATATCCAGGTCCTGCAAAAATCTAAAACTATGTGCTTCACTTCAAGTAGCAAAGGCACCTGTGTTATTGTCCCTTTTGGAAAATAAGGTGATCTTATGTTCTAGGTTTCCTGATGAAGAATACATTGGTTTCTGGATATCTCTCTCCCATCTCTGTGTTGAGTGGCAGCACAAGCCACAAGAGAAGGCAGCGCTGTACTCCTGCTTACAGCGGAAGAAGTTGCTCTGCAGGCTGCTTGGAGCGTCGGACTTGTCACAAGGGAAACCCAACTGAACTGTGAAGCAGAGGGATAGTAACAAAAGGCTATTCTGGTGTGAGGAAAACACGGAGTCATTCTAGCTCCACAAGCAGATGTTGCTACTGGATTGACATGTGGAGCCTGCTCCTGCTGGGGACAGGTAAAGTTTACCATTGGGACAGGCGCAGAGCTCATAGATAGTCTGGCGAGGAGCTGAAGAGCTGGGTGAGGAGGAGGAGGAGAAGGAGGAAGAGGAGGATGATGAAAAGGATCCCACTGGTAGATTTCCCAGGCGGATTGTATCTGCGTTTAAAAATATCTAAAAAGAGGGAGAAAAAAAGAAATACATAAATTTCTATCAGCAGTGAGATATATTTTAAAGAAGTGCTTTGAGGCAGCTGTGATTTTTTAGAAATATATTTAGAATTTTAGAAATATTTTATTAGAAGTATTATAAATATATATTAGAAATTCCTCTTTTTAGAAGTAAAAAAGCTGTCAGCATTTATTGTTTTTCATCTCTGTGTAGTCATTTCTGCATTAATAGTCATTATGACAATGTATGGAATTACTTCATCGACATGCTGATTCAGGTACAAATATTATTATACAAAAACATTTAGACAATATTCTTGAGTAGGTTGAATTTTCACTTGTACAATTTATGATTAACACTTATTCATTCATGGCAGCAGCATATACTTGCTCTGGCAGAATTTGTATTTTAATAAGTGTGAAGTGATATTAAAGCACATTCCCTAGTGTGCTCCCGTAAGCAGTTGAAAATATGTTCTGAACTGTGCTAAATTGTAGGGGCTTAACAATAGCTACTTCCAGAGAATAATTAAATGAGGTTACAAAGACATATGCACAAAATAAAGAGCTCTTTTGACCTAAATTAAGAGGAGGAAAGATTTCAGGTTAAAGTCTTATTAAAAAGGCCATCAAGATATTCCCATTTGTTTTTGAACATCAAGTATGATTAAAAAACATTGTGTTTTTTTTCAATCTGCCATTGGAAATAACATGAGTCAGTATGAAACTGTAGGTACCAGTAACATTAATGAATCTCTGTTGAGTTCTCTGGTACTTATACTTACATTTGCAGAAAACTGCATGTCTTCTACTGATTCAAACAGATGAGTGTCCAACTGTTCAGAATTTATTTTTTATTTATGGAAAGAGTAAATAAGAGCTAAAGTAAAATCAGTTATTGCCTCAGGAGCAGACCAAGAACTTCTAGAAGACAGGTAACAAATCAAAATTACATTAAGCTCTGGAGGTGACACTTCAAGATTAGGAAAAGGTGAGATCTGTAAATACAGGCTAGTGTTTTTATATGGTATCTAAAGTCAATGAAGCCAACTTGACATCATTGTACCACAATTTTCATAGTACATGTAAAGAACCTAAAGAAGTATGGAAAGTATTGCCTTTTTTTTTTTATTCTGTAGGAGAAATGTATTATTTTATGATAAAATAAGTGGTATATGGCAGCGAAGCAGTGCAGAAGCACTACTGACCTCCTGCCATAGAGAAGTCAGGAATAGCAGGAAAAAAATAAAGTGTCTGGATAAAATCCATACAGGAATTTATGCATATTCATGTTTCCATCCATAGCAAAAGCATTGTAAATGACTGGAATTATTGAAAGTAATGTAGTCTGAAAGTAGCCCCAAACACTACAACTCCCCATCACTGTAAGTTCTCCAGTTCCCACAGCAATCATACTGTCGTGGCAGGAAATACCCACCAAAAGGGACAGAAAGGGAGAATCTCAGAGGCAATGGTGACGTCTGCATGTCACAATGCCTGCTTTAATTCACATTGTGACCGATAGAGGAAGTGATCACAAAACTAAAATGCAGCAAATTATTATCTTTGTTCTGTAACTTATATATCAAAGGAATGATGTATTTAGACACACACATACACAATGTTATTTGGAAAGTCCAGTATTACAGACCTGAGACAATTAGTAGTCACAACCCCTGCAGATATAGTCTTTATGTAAGAAATGTGTTGGAAACACTTTAATAATGTTCTGCTAGAATTATAACTGAAAAAAAAGATTACACGTGTTAAAACATTCTGCTCAGCTAAAAGTAAATGTGAAAATAAGAATAGCAAAAAGAAAATAACAGATGGGGAAAAAGAGTTTAATAACAAACTAGAAACTAGGAACTGGTAAAATGTGGGAAGGAAACAGAGGACACAATAATGAATGGAGTGACAAATAATTAAAAGTATTCTTTCACTTCTCATATCAAGAAAAAATAAATAACAACAGGTCCATTATTAAAGTAGTAACAGTAGAGTTATCAATAACACTGCATAAAAATCCAGTAGCATTTAACAATGCAAGGTCTATGTAAGTATATCTTTTGTACTAATAATGCTCAGCATAGTTCTGTACTTGGAGAAAGATCAAAAATTGATGTCAGAACATGACTGAGATAAAATACTTTCAATTTCAACAGTAATTCAACAGGATATTAAACTGGAGCCAGTAATGTCACATACTTTTAATCAGCAGTTTTTGATAACTTTTAACAAATACAGCCAAAAATAAAATCTGAGTGGCCTTTTGGACTTTTAATACTGACTTTCAGTAAGCCTTGTTGTCATGGTTTAACCCCAGCCAACAGCCATGTGCCACACAGCCACTCCCTCATTCACTCCCCCACCAGAAAGATCAGGAAGAGGCTGGAAGGATAGAAGCTGGAAAACTCATGGGTTGATAAAGACAGTTTAATAGTGAAAGGTATGCACACAAGCAAAGCAAAATAAGGAATGAATTCACTGTTTCCCATGGGCAGGCAGATGTTCAGCTATCTCCAGGAGAGAAGGGCCCCACCATGTATAATGGTGACTTGGGAACACAAACATCAGCACTCCAAAGGCCCTTCCCCTCATTCCTTCTTCCCCCAGGAGCTTTCTATAGAGAGCCTGATGTCAGAGAGTCCCTTTGGTCAGTTTGGAATGTCCCTTTGGTCAGTTGAGGTCACCTCCCAGCTTCCCATGCACCCCCAATCTCCTCCCCAGAATGGCAGTATGAAAAACAGAAAAATCCCGGGGTCTGTGTAAGCTCTGCTCAGCAATGGATGAGCTCTTTATACTTTTGGCAGACTGTGTGACTGGCCATTTTAACAGCTTAGCTGCAGTCATGATGGGGAAGGTTCATGAGAAATCTGTAATACAAAATTAAATGGGTTGTAAAAGGCATGTTTTGATTCAAACAAAAATTAACTGGAAAATCAGAGAGCCTATGTGGCAGAGTTAAATCTCTTGAACTTTATTCCATTATTTGCTGTGAGCCCAATAATTTTTCTGTTTGTTTACATCAGGACAGCCACACTTCTACAATTTATCATTGCAGGTGCTCTGTAGTGTACTGCTCCAAGACTTTAATGCAGAGCACTTTACTCTGATGTGCATTACAATACAATGTAGCTCAGTTATTTTTCTCATTAAATGAAATTATCTTTAATAAGCATAGCTATGCAGGCTTTTCCACTAGTACTTATGAACTTCACACTGTGACATACAACAATCCAGGCTTATCTGGTATCCTAATCCTGCATGGTAGCTATCCAGTCCTGTCCCAGCATACATCCCAGAGCATCTGGTGAGCAATGTGGGTACTAGGATATGGTGTCTGAGAAAAATTGGACTGCCTTCTTAAGAGGGTGATATCTGCTGCAGTGAGTCCAATTTAAACCCATCCGTATAGCTACACCCTGGTGAAACCTGTGTTGAAGAGGATTAATAAAGATGGTTTAAAGCCAGTATTAAAGTCTACCTTGTACATATGCTGTCAGGGTTATAATGAAAGATGAAATTTAAAGATGCAACATTTCTATCTATTAGTTAAGCAGGAATCCAAATATACTGCCAGAGTATCCCAACATGTTAGGAATTTCAGTGTACCTATTTAAGGATTTATGTTTTCTGTCCTCTGATCTGCAAAAAACTGAAATTCATGGCTGAAAAGTCCTCCAACACCAGTAAAACTTAAACTACTTACTGCTTTATGCTTGATGTTATCGGATGTTTTAAGAGAAGGGAAGAAATGTCAAAAAAAATTAAACAGTATGATATTTCTAGGGAACACTGCTGCTAGATGAAAGTAGTCAACGTGTACATGGTCTTTCTCTAATCTGTTTTGCTGTGAGAGGTATGAGATAAGCCATTTAATACCTCACATGCATCAAGGCAGTGCAGGCCAGTCATACTCTCTGAGAGTCTCACTCCTCAGCAGATAAACAGGCACAAATAAAACCAAAGCCTTCTTTCCTTCCTGAAACATTGTGGGAGACTGACTGGCAGATTGCAAGATGGAAAAGGCAGCTGCTACTCAGAGAAATGTTATTTCATGGAGAGCAGAATGCTGAGCAGCATCATGCTCTCTAAATACTTAAGGTTTAGAAATCCCAGATCATTGCTTTGTCATGTGCATCTCAGTACAGAGAAAAATACACTAGTTCTATATGGTTTAAAAGTAGATCCAATTTCTGACTAGTTAAAGAATCAAACTGAATCAGCCTAGTGTATCTGATAAGAATGGAAAAGTGGTACTCTTTTTATATACACTTTTTGCTAATGAAGATCTGCCATTCACCTGCTCATCAGACTGTATTGTTAATCTGAACATTGAGAGGGAAAGGGAGAGGAGGGCAAACCAGAAAACAAAGAATATCTACAAAACAAATAACTAAATTGAACGAGCAAACTTTCAGTGGTACTATATAGGCATGAGGTAAAAAGCAAATACTTGTACAAGCCTTAAATACAGAGAGATGAACCTGTCATGTATAAAATTTTCCAATGGGTCTTAGTCAAGAAAGCAAATGACAGTTTAAGTTGATACAGCCAAATTAAAAATTTTGGATTTATAGACAATGAAGAATTTTCTGTATCCAGGTACTCTTCAATTAAACAAACAACTCCATAGGGCTGCAAATGCATATTTCAGGTCTAATGTAGACAAGAAATGGCAGGAAACTGGAGGAAGTATGAAAAAAAGAAGGAAATCAGATTAACTGGTGTTAATCAGTATGAGAAGACAGCGTAGTGATGTCTCACTAAACAATAAACTTTTAGGATTCCCTTAAATATTCAATTATTCTGAATTACACGAATGCAAGGTTTGGCCTTAGTCTTTTTGCTATTCTGCATAGGCTATTGGAAGCATCCTAGAAAGAAGATTATACAGATTAGGTCACTAGATTCAACTATATAATTTTCATAAGCTGATGTGTTTCAATATTCAAGGTTAAGGTGAACTATAGCATAAATTGAAGTACTTTAGTTTGCATG